ACTTGCTCACCCTACAACTATTACGAATAATCCAAATGGGGTCAAATGCTTTCCTCCAAACTTGCTCGCCAATACATTTACTCCCTTCCCAAACATACTATTAATGAGGTGTATAAGGGTTTCCGTGCAATGCCAATTTTATCTCGTGTTGTGCATACCTACTGGAGGATAGTTACATATTTCATGCAACGACATGCAGATGACACTGCTCGAATGGTAAGTGATAATTTAGTAGAAGACATGGAGTAGTGGAACTCAAGGTCCATCATGCATGAGTTTATTATGTACAATCGGGTTGATGTGTCTTTGCTACGAAACATGTAGGCATGATTGTCATGGAGGAAATGCTCAAACTATCACCCAAAAAATATTGAGTAAAACTGGTGAGTGCACTTGTGGAGCGTTTTATGCATGAGTATTCCTTCTTCTCATTGCATTGCCACATGTAAATCTATTGTCCTTTACAAATAAAATAAAATAAAAAAGGCTAGATATATAGCTTCCTATGCCATTCTTGACAGACATAGTTACTATAAAATTTTCAAGAGGGAGACGGGTTTAAAAAATTTAAGAATAACATTCTAATTTTGAACGATATGATTTAGCCACAGTCATGGAACATACTAATGAATCCTTGGCTTGTGGAGGATGTATGAAAAAGAGAGTGGATGGTGTTGTGGCCTCCTCCATAATCTGGTGTCCTGATAAATCAAACTCGATACCTTATCATAGGGCCATTACTTGTTATTTTGAGTCCCTTGAGTATGCCCTCCTCCACTGCCTTCTTTGTAAGGGAAGAAATCTCTTCAGCACAGAACATAAAGAGGTAAGGAGAGATAGAGTCTGCTTGCCTCAATCCTCTAGATGGTTTGATGATAAGTGTTTGATTTCCATTGATCATAGCCGAATAAAGGACAGTGAACACACATTTGATGATCATTTTAACCCAACATTTATGGAATCCCAACTTCAACATGATGCCTTCTAGAAAATTTCATTCAACTCTGTCATAGGCTTTTGTTATATCACTCTTGGCAGCCCCGTAACCCTTATTTCCTTGTTTTCTATTTTCTAGAGCATGAAAGCACTCAAACCCCCACCATGATATTATTTTTGATGTTTCTGCCAGGCACGAAAACACTTTGTATCTCAGTAATCACTCATCCATAATTCTCTTTAGCCTATTAGCAAGCACTTTAGATAGAATCTTGTAGAGCGCTTTACACATAGCAATAGGTCTAGCCTCATTTGGTTTCCTTGGCTTCTTCGTCTTAGGAATCAGGGCCAATAAAGTATGGTTCAAAATCGGAGGAATCATGCATGTTAATAGGATTCTTTAAAGTTTTAGGCATATAGTTTCCCCCACCTCCGCCCAATTCTTCTGGAAGAAAAGGGCTTGCATTCCATCCGAGCCTTGTGCTTTTGTATGTCTAGTGGATTTACTCCGTTTTTTCTTTTTCTAACTCAACCCTTGGTTGAAATCCCCACATAACACCCACGACATTTTTGTATGTCCATAAAGTCTTCTTATCAATTCCTATGTTTATGGGTTGTTTTCTTGTTTTGGCCATCTATGGATGCTAGTTAGTCACCACTTGATTTCCTCTGAACATTCAGTAATACATGCATCAATGTAGTTTCGAGTAAGTGACTTGACTACAACATTCATATCTTCCTTCTAGAGAATCAGCAACTGTCTTAACCTGTCCCTGGAACCCACACCTTTACCCTTCGTCCAACCCAGTTGTTTTTATAGTTTCATACCATTCGTGCTCTTTTTTTAGTTTTCATGAGGAACACTGTGCTATGGTCTTGCTCTTTGAGTAGGTCAGCTACTCTTGCAACTGTCGTTGCTTTCCTCAGTCCACGACAATTGTAACTAATGACACTCAATGGGCTAGGCAGCCTTGCTTTTTAGCAAGGTCCACTGAACCTCCATTCTTTTGTTGTGTTTTGCTGTTCTCATTCTCCTAAAGTTCTTCCATTTTCAATAGATTCTTCTTTTCTTTTTTGTGACTCCCATTGGCTTTGTCTGCCTGCACAAGATCGCATAGGACATTAAGTCGATATTTCTGAGGAGTTGATTGAGGTATTTCCCCTCTGTCTGCCTTTTCCATACTTGAGCTTTTGATTTCTGTAGTATTCCCATTCCACACTACCCATTGAGAAACTAAGGCTTTTCTGGTCCATCCTTATATCCCCCTAACCCCGTCTTGATTGGTTGTTTTAGCTCATACATTTGTGATGCTTTATCTTGATTCTCCTCCTGCCCTCCTTTCTCTATAATTTGATCCTTCTCTGGTACCTCCAGGTTGCATACTTCATTACCAAATTTCTTGGAATAGTATCTTCCTCTCTCTTGTTTCCTTGTCCTTCTGCTTTTCAGTTTCTCTTTCCTTCTCAAACTTTGCACGCAAGTAATCCAATATTTCCCGGTCCTCTTATCTGGCTACTTTTGAGAGATGTTTCCTCAGTCCAGGTGGAGCAATTATTATTTATATTCCTAAAGCATCTTCCACCATAGGTGAATGTTTGGGACATCTAAGTTTAGGATGTCCCATTTGGCCACACAAAAAGTAGGACATATGGAGTTTTTCGTACTTTAATTTGTATTCCTTCAACTAACCTCCAACATTATATTCGATTTTCTTAGTATCTAATTAAGTTCATTTTCTTAGTATTTTTTTTAAATTTATATGACAAAAAATCTGACCACATTAGATTCGGTTCAGTATAATTCTATCAAAATATCGGTTTGGTTCAGTATATACAGACCAAATCGTTGCAGACTCCTACAACTGCATTGGAGTAAGATAGAAAAAGAAAGGGTTATTTGTATAATATGCCCCTATACTTTGAATTTTTCTCAAACATGCCCCTCTACTATAAATCAGATCAAATCTACCCTTATACTATTAAGTACTTCTTAAACATGCCCTTCCATCCGTTTTTTCCGTCTCATAATCGTTAGTTAGGTCCAACCTGATTTTGGGGAACACGACTTCATGAAATGAGAGGTTGAAAGACACTTTTATCCTCCTTTAGCTTTAACATTATCGTTCCCAAAAATCCCCCATTCACGTACCCTATTCCATCCATTAACGATAGACTCCAACCCTGGTCCAAATTTATCCTCTGTTTTGCTAAATCGTCCGCCTATCAAGGCCAGATCTAATTCCGAAGATAACAATTGAATTCCTCAGAGCCTCATCTCCGGGCATCTTCTCTCTATTTCTATCATCACCAGCCAAATTTTTTTATCGCTGCTCATAGTTTTACAGTACTACTACCCCGATTTGCTTCTCTCTTCCATCCCGTTGCTGGCAATCTAGTTATCTTGAGATTTGGTTGCTAGCAATGTAAATGAAGGAGAAGGAGATACATTCCTTGCAATTATTAAGGTAGTGGTGCTGTGATTGTTGTTGTCGCTATCGCTCAGGGGAAAGAAAACAGAAACTTTATTTTCCAGATTTAAAAAATAAGGAGATCTTAGCTTGTGGTTATAATAATTAGACATGTGAAGTATTGTTTGATCATTCTTTCTTCTTTTCGAAAATTGAAATCACATATTAGTGTTGCCCATTACCAGCTTCAAATGGTTGCTTGCAAGTAGAATTAAAAATTAGGGATTTCAATTTATCGTTTAGGGATTTTTTTTTCGTTGCCAAATTGAGTTCTATGTCCATGTGTTGTTACGAATTAGGAATGGAGGATCGAAGAGAGTAGAGATCTGGAGCGAGATGGATTTGCCGAAAGGAGTGGCATTGAGAGAGGGGCTCCGAAGATGATTGACGGCGATGTGGTGGCGGCTCCGAAGTAGACTTGGGGACCCCAAGTTGGGCTCTTCCCGGAGGGAATCGATGACCGGTTAGGGGCATAAGCCACCATCAGTTCGATGACCGGTTAGGGGCATAAGCCACCATCAGTTCGATGACAGTGAAGAGGGGTGGTGGCTCAAAATCCAATGTCGGAGACACGAGGTTGCTTGGATGACCGGAGAGGGATCAGGGATTGCTGGAGCTTGGTTGGAATGAGTCGATGGTACATGATTGAGATATTTTTGGGAACGATGATATTGGAGCCGAAGGAGGGTAAAATTGTCTTTCACCCTCTTATTTACATGACAACATGTTGCTCAAAATTAGGTTGAACCAGACTAACGGTAATGTGACGGAAAAACAGATGGGAGGGCATGTTTGATAAATTATTAATACAATAAGGGTAGGTATGATGTGATTTATAATATTTGAGAAAAATGTTAAGTACAAGGGCGTATTATACCTATAACCCAAAAAGAAAGAATAACATACACTACAAAAAAAATGACTTTTAACGGCTAAGTGTATTTGTTACTATAAGCGATTTATGTGCCTCGATAGCTCTATAGCGGCACATAAATGTGTGCTGTCAATACTGCTGCCGCTAATTGTCTTTAGAGGCAGATGTTAGCGACAAATAGTATCTGCTGTTAATTTAAGAATCTACGACAAATAGTTTTGTTGCTAATTTTACTTTTGAATGACTATTTTATAGTCTTCTTTTTTCATTTTAGTAGCACAAATATTTGCTGCTAATGTATATTTAGTAACAAATATTTATGCCTCTGTAGTTCATTTTGGGAACTATTATATTAGCCTTTAAATAAATTTATGGCTATGTGCGGTGATTTTTCATTTGGAAATTTTGGCTCTATATATTAAAAAATAGATAAAAATAGACAAATATGAAAATAATCTTTATTATATATATATACTAACAGTCAACCGCGTAACAATTGGAGTCCTCGAAGAAATTACTGGGAATGATATAAACATCACAACTCTACACTAACAACTGGATTCAATAGCCCTCTAGTCAGGACTTCAACTTCTTGCACGTTATTGCTTCAAGTTCGGTAGGGGCAGTCTGGAAACCTTTGTACTAATAAGTAATCTCCTTTAACTGCTAAAAAATAAAGCGCTCATGATGGTCATCGTCAATGTAGTCCCAATCCACCCTTCTTTGTCTATTGTTCTTAATGTGAATTCAGGGTAATTAACCTGCTAAATTGAAAAAGAAAATTGATTTTGATTGCGGGTTAGCTTCAAAGGAAATGAAAGGGAAACAATATATCTAGAAATTGGTAACTCAAGTACCATTCTTAATTTGATGTCGTCGGATGCGATTTCTCCTAGTTCTTGAAAGGGGAGGAACCAGTTTCAGGAGTGGAAATCGCTCCATGATGCAAACCTGATGTTGGAAGGGAAAGCCCAAAGCAAAATTACAAAGAGAAAACCAAAGAAGTCGTATCACATGATGATGGAAGGGGATGCTAGAGACGCAATGGAGTTCGACTGTAATCTACGACGGAAGTTCATCAAGATGTTCAAGAAAAGTAAAGAGGGGAGGGTACCATATTATATTACTCACGTCGATTTTCGTGACTGTCGCTGAACAAGTGCTTGTCGATATTGATGATCGGCCGGTTTGATCTCGCCGGAAATGGTCGCAACGCCGTGATGGAAAAATATTAAAGAACCTGGTTGCAGGAAGGAATCAGGAATTCATAATTTAGGGTTACACAGGAGGAGCCCTACGAAGAAAAAACAAACACATATAATGGGTTTCCACCCTGAGATTACGGGTGATGGGCCGAATTTTTTTACCATCTCTTTCCTTTTTTAAAACACACGTATTGAATTATTAAATAAAAATATCTATAGATAATATTATGATTTAAAGTAATTATAATATTATTTTTACAAAAGATAGTAATCCAATCAGAGGCGGATTAATTTGCTGGAAAAAATGTCTTTAGAGACGCATTAATTATCTGTCGCGGGAAGTTATCACAATAAATTAAAATAAAATAACAACTTTTTTATTTGCCTCTAAATCTAAACAGATTATTCTCTATCTACGGAAAACAAATGAGCCAAGACTTTAGAAGGCAATACTAGGAATTTGGCCGCCATATACAATAATTTACTTTCATTGGTATTAATATATAAAAAAACTTTAATTATTAGCGACATATTTGATAACTTTTAGAGGCAAAATTTATATCTATCGCTATAAGATACATTTTGAGGCATTTACAATATTTGCCTGTATAATTTAGTCGCTAAAAGCTAATTTTCTTGTAGTGATAGGTTCAACATGTCAGGCAACATATAACTAATATAAGAGGAAAAAGTGTGATTTTCTGGGTTAATTCGCAGAAAAGAAACCACCACATGTTATGAAAATAACATGACTATTTCCATAACATTTGTTTTATTTGGTGACATCAACCCTGAAACATGTTATTACCATATTCTCAAACTATCACATGTTCAAGTCCAACTTCTATTTGTTTTTATCGAAGCATGAAAGAAAAGGTCATTCAAGCATCAAACCAAGTAACTTTCAAGCTCCTCCAGTCCTTGGACGGCACACCCAAAGCTTTCCAGACCGTCTTCGACGCGTCCACCACGTTGTTCGGACACAGCGGCTGGTAATCGTGGGTCGCGTCGCACCTTTCCGCTGAGGAACACCTCCGCTTCTTATTGAACCACCCTTTCGACAGCGCCACTATCCGCTCGTTGTCGGAGTGAAACTTGTTGTCGCACTCTGAAGGCCCACCGCTGTCTTTCCCCTTCTCGAAGCCATTCAGCGTCAGCAGTGCTTTCGTCGGGTGCTTTCGGCTGACCGGCGGTGAGCAATGGTAGGCCATGTAGGTCTTCTCTTCCACGCAGCATTCGGAGTCGTTTTCTTTGTTGCATTTGTGGGGTGGCGGTTTCTTCCCCTTCAGCTTCCCGCTCGGCCGACAAACGCCGCCATGGTTTTTGTGTTTTGCCTCGGTGGGGAAAGAGTAGTGGGTGAAAAGTAGGATCGATGTGCAAAGTATGATGAAGATGTTCTTCTTCATATCTATGACATTTGAATATTGGAGCTAGTAATGAATATTTTGTTTGGGTTTCATGGGTTTAATAATAAGGAGGGATTGGGCGGTGGAGAATCTCAATCACCGAAAAGGATGAACAAGTATTGTCAATTAAATTGGAGATGGCCAGATATACAAGGGAAAATCGTCTTGGACAGAAGCGAAGAAAGTAATTGATAATTATTGATAGCCAAAGCCAAGTAGTTGTCTTGTTTAGGAAACTAGCTACCCAAAGCCAAGTAAGTTATCTTGTTTGGGAAACTATATAACATATGACGTTTAATTTGCATGCGAGGACAAAATTTTCGACAGTACCTACTAGATTTTACTTCGAATTTTTCCTAATATAACTTTAAGTTAATACTAAAAGTTCCACCACTGAAGTTCCACCAAAATACACTTCGCAATTCATAAGATTACATTGCAACCCTATCATCCCATAAAATTATGTTCACATTATGAAAAGTTGTGATCAATGTAGTCAAAATCGCGCTTTAAAGTTTAAAAACTTACGGTTTTACGCTTTTAGATCACTAAAACGCTTCTATACATAATCTCCACTTTTTATAACTAATGTAGTTAAAAACTACGTTTTAAAGCTTAAAAACTTACGATTTTACACTTCTAGACCACCAAAACGCTTCCACATAGAAACACCCTTTGGCTACATTGATTGTGATGGCCTAAGATAACCCCTTAATAAAAATGAAAATATCGTCAAGAAAACTAAAGTGAGTGCGAGCTACTCTCATGCACCGAGGGTGATATGACATTGTCTCCTCTGCTACTGATATATTTAAAAGCAAAGACATGCATCAACCTATATAACACCCTTTTTGCCCCAAAACCAACAAAGAGATAAATTAAACAACACAAGTAGTAATTAATATTAGAAAAAGATCCATCACATCCATAAAAAGATAAATTAAACAACACAAGTAGTAATTAATATTATAAAACTATACTAAGTACTAAAATAAAAGATAAAGACAAGCACATAATACTAACATTTTACAAAGTATATTATTCAAATGAAAAGAAAGACGAGAAAAAGGTAGGGAAATGGCACTCCCAAAACCGAGAAATTTCCTTTTGGACTCAGTCTCTCGACCTTCTATATGGAACTTCTAGTTGTTGGTGTTGTTCCTCTTGTTGTTTCTCCTCGAATTGAGGTTATGGTTCTTCTTCTGGGATTTGTGGTTCTTTCCTTCAAGGGCGATTTCGGTTTCTTCATGCATAATGCTCAGGGCTAAGGTCCTCTACAAACCTCTTACTCTTGGTTGAATTGCCTATATAGGAGAAAAACCACAATACATGTCCAAACAAACCATTAAGCAACACACTTGATCAATTGAAACAAATAAATTCATCCTTAGGCTCAACTCTACACACCATCACACTTAAGTATTACAATGTAGAAACTAGAGGTGCATAGGTTGAAACACATTTTGTAATGACTAGGATCTAGGTCTAAATGCATGAAAACAAGGTCATCATGTCTTTCAAGAGGTTTCTATACCTCGGTCGTAGGCTAGCATAAACTCATTATACAATAACCAAAGCATGAACTCACGGCTATAGAAGCATATCAAAGGACAAAAAAAAAAGAGTTGAAGTCTCAAACTCAAGGATCATGCATCATGGATTCAAGCTCTAGTCATAAACACACTCCTAAGGGTCTATCTTAATAAATCAAGTTCAATTGATAAAAAATGGATCAACATAAACAAGTTTAATGTGAGTTGGGAATTTCATCAAGCAATTTGTGGGCAACATTAAAACTTCATAAACATGCAATTCAAATCCACCAAGGCCTCCAAACTCACATACACATTAATAAAAATATACTCTACGATCCTATTGCAATAGCCATTTATTCCCTAGGCCTAAGTAGCATAGATGGTAAGCTGACACACATGCTTAACAACAACAACATTTGCAATCATTGCTCAAGCAACTAGATAGTTTCCAAACAATCATTCATGCAATTCTTGACATAGCAAGGGATTCATTAACTAGATAAGATTATAAACATTCCTTAAAACAAGATCAAACATGAAATTTTAATTTTTGAAGAAGGTAAAGGAAATGCAAACCGATTGTTGGGTACCTCCCAACGAGTGCGTCTTCCATGTCTTATCGCCAGACGATCGCCTTCAAGCATTCGGTCCTACTCAAGACCTCCTTAAAGTTGAGGTTTTCGTCGGAAAAGTGGAGTCTCAAGTCTTGATTTGTCTCCTGATCATTGGGTGAATGATCATGTAGACGAGAATGCTTGAGATACCTCCAATGAAACCTCTCTTTAACTCTTCTCTTCTTCTCTTTGTTGCGAACCAAATGGAGTAGTTTTGAAGGTTTATCATCACATCGACAAAGAGGGATTGATGACGAGCTAGCCTTGTCTCGAAAAAGATTTGTTTCAAAGGACTCGCCTTTCAAGGTCTGATGACCTTCCATGGTCAAAGTGAATGGCCTCTTTGGGCACACTAACCAGGATTAACCCCAAGCAATCAGCATCCTCTTATTCACCCACCTCTCTCTTATCTTCATTGATTCCTTATCCATGTGGAATCTCAAGCTCATACTCATCATTATTTCCTTCTTCACCCGCCATAACTTCATCATTGCCCCTTCCTGCTAGAGTTTCTGATTAACACTGAAGCTTGATTGATTGAGAGAAAAAACGTAAAGGATTTTACAGAGTATCATAGCTTATATAGTCTATCTGTCTATCTAACTCTTCAACTAACCTATGTACATTTACAATATGATCATCTAACTAAGTGCGAATTACATTCTAGTCCTACATTCTAATACCCCCCCCCCCCCCCCCGCGCAAGCTAAACATGTATTGATTTCATGTTTAGCTTGGAGATGAGATCTATAAAAGTGTGAACTGGTAAGGCCTTTTTAAATGGATCAGCAAGCTGTAATGTAGTGGAAACGTGTTGAACTTTGAGCTTATTGGCAAGCACTTGATCCATTGTGAAGTGGCAGTCTACTTCGATGTGCTTTGTTCTTTCATGTTGAACTGGGTTCTCTGTCATCTTTACAGCTGATAGACTGTCGCAGTAGATGAAGTAAGGCTGCTGGGGCTGCACAGGTAGCTGCTGAAAGAGAGATGTCATCCACTGGAGTTCCTGTGAGGTGTCAGCGAGGGCTCGATATTCTGCTTCAGCTGATGAACGTGAGAATGTCTGCTGCTTCTTGGAACGCCAGCTGATGAGTGAAGAACCTAGAAAAACACAAAAACCAGTTACTGATCTGCGAGTATCGGTGCACCCTGCCCAATCCGAATCAGAAAATGCAGTTAGCTTGATGTTAGAGTTGGAAGGAAAGAAAAGGCCTTTGGCTGGATTAGTCTTTAAGTAGCACAAAAGTCTATGAGTAGCTTGTTCATGACTGGTTCTTGGGGAATCAATGTATTGACTCAGCTGGTTGACAGTATAGCATATGCCAGGTCTGGTATCGCATAGATATTGTAAACGACCTATTAGTGTTCGGTAACTACTATGTGCAACAGAATCAAGTGGTTCTCCATCATTGCTAGATAGATGAGTGCCTGGAACAGAGGGTGTAGTTGCTGGTTTAGAAGCAAGATAACCAGTATCAGACAAGAGGTCCAGTGCATATTTCCTTTGGCAAAGATGGATCCCAGAATCAGATCTGGATACTTCCATGCCAAGGAAGTATTTGAGATTCCCTAGATCCTTAATTGTAAACTTGTCATCTAAGAACTGTTTGACCTTTTGAATTTCAGAGAAACAATTTCCAGTTAGTATAATGTCATCTACATAAACAAGAAGAGCAGTAAAGTTCTTGTTTTCGTGTTTAGTAAAGAGGGAGTAATCACAATATGATTTCTTATACCCTAGTTTTTCTAGTATAGCAGACAATTTTGCAAACCATTGGCGACTTGCCTGCTTTAGTCCATAAAGGGACTTAGTGAGTTTGCAAACCTTATTTTTGTCAGCATCACTAACCTGGAGACCAGGGGGTAAAGCCATATACACTTCCTCATTTAAATCACCATGAAGAAAGGCTGTATTGACATCTAACTGTTCTAGGTACCAGTTGTTAATAGATGCTAATGCTAAAAGTACCCTAACTGTAGTCATTTTGACAACAGGGGAGAAGGTGTCTAGATAGCCAATACCAAGGGTCTGTGTGTATCCCTTAGCCACTAGACGAGCTTTAAACTTGTCAATGCTACCATCTGAAAGAAATTTGATTCTAAAAACCCATTTATTACCAATGATAGGTTTGTTAATGGGAGGATCGAGTAGCACCCAAGTTTTAGTTTTTAAGAGGGAAGCTAAGTCTGACTGAACAGCCTTGAGCCATTCTTCATACTGAGCAGCTTCTTTGTATGTACGTGGTTCTCTAAGAAGACCAATAGCAAGTGCAAACTTTTTATGATTAGGACTAAGTTTGCTGTAAGTTAGAATATCCTGTATAGGATGTGTAACACTTAAATCAGTGTTTGTAGTAGATCCAATCAAATTACATTTGTAATCTTTTAATCTGGCAGGTTGGACTCTTTGTCTAGAAGACTTCCTTAATGGAGGAGAAGGAGGAATAACAACAGGAGTAGGAAAAGCTACTGCTGGTTCTGTTGTTGACACGGGAAGAGGTTCAGGGACATCTGGAACAGTGTCAACTGGGATTGAAGTAATAGTAGTGGAAGAATCCAGTTGAGGTAAGGATTTTGGAAAAACAGGAAAAGGAACTGGAGTATTGATTTGGTGAATGTCCTTGTAGAATGGAAAGATGTCCTCATGAAACACGACATCCCTTGAGATGAAAATTGCATGAGTGGTCAGGTTGTACAATCTGTAACCTTTGTACCAGTAGGAAATCCCAAAAACACACTAGGTGTAGCTCTAGGATCTAGTTTATTTCTAAGTGCTTGAATAGTGGATGCATTGGTGAGGCATCCAAAAACCCTGAGGTAACTTAGATCAGCCTTGTGACCATAGAGTTTT